TCGCATCAGCAAAATATACACCACTTAAACACACACGTTTCTGCGTATACAGTAGGTAAATAGTAAGGATTGAGGATATTGTTGGTGTTCATATCAAAAAAACCCACTCAAACAGTTCATAATGATAGTAAACATTTACATGAACTATGAATGCTACTAATCGTGTATTGGATTGGAATCGACACCCGCGTGTGGTAACACGTGCCTACATATATACACACAGTATCGTGTGCTGCTAGGCAAACATATAGTCATATAGCTATATACTCATTTCATTAACCTAACATCACGTTTTTTTATCCCCGAAGGGGCGGGCAGAGGTGCACATTACGGCTCTTTATGCCACTGTACAATGTAACACCCACTTTTCACTATTGATGTTATGAGTCCCATGTAATTGGGGGTGAGCCTATTGACATATACCGGGCACAATTCCAGACTCCGCGCTACTACTGAGATTTTTTTTAAAACCCACTCATTTCATACTTAGTAGAGTCTACGTACGAAAAAGTTTCATTTGTAAAAAGGAGAATGGATAAATAAGATATATTGTTCCAATTTCAAATAAATAAAGATAAGGTAGAAAAGAATTGGTTATAGAACAATCTCCTACAGAAGAAATTCACTCCTATTTCAAATACAGAACTTACCTCAAAAATATAAATCAGTAAAAAAAAAACAAAAGCACTAACAGTGATTTTCATAAAATAGGCGCGTGGGGAGGTGGAAACGTCAAATAACCTTACGATCACGTTATCGAAGTCTTATCGACAATTTCTTTTTATTTTTCGTCGAGTGTTTGGAAACTATGAGCATTACGTGTGGCACAATGGAACATTAACTTGTATGTTTTGGTTTAATAACGAAAGTGGGTAAAAAGGACATCTTGTGATAGTGTGCACGTGGCTCACTGTGCCGTTGTGGGTCGTTTGTTTTTTGTTAACCGATATTTTATATCGTTTTCATTATTTTTCATCTCACTGGATTGAATTTCCTTTCTTTTTCTTTCAATTGTCCTATTTTCTGTCTCAGAGTCATCAGTTTTGATAAATCAATCAATTGTGACAATCAAGAATTCGTGAGAGTTACCAAAAAGTACTAGTCCACCAAAAAGTAGTAGTAAATAGTCTACCAAAAAGTAGTAGTAAAAGTCCTGTCTCTAAGTTACAACATAGTGTTTTTACCTTTATCATGGGGTCTAATGATACAGCTGTATTATGGTAGAATACGTAAGCTCCTATGAGCCTAAATGTTTCTACATAGCTTTGATCTTTATCTTTTATGGATGGTACCAGACTCTATATGCTCTTTTTTTACTATATCAGACTAATAATAGTCATAATTGGCTTAACACCATTAAACTGTCAAACACCGCGAAGACACCGGTGACCGCAACCTATTGTTCTTTAATTGTGTCAAAGGGTTAATCTATTTCGATATAGATCCGTAGGATGAGATGCAGCAGAATACCAGCAGTTTTCTGATGTGGGGGTAACGTTTTTTGAATAATATAGTATCTATAATGCGAGTGGCGAGTTTTCGTTCGACGTGAAGGCCCAAGCGGGAGGCCTTTGTCCAGCAGTGGACGTCTTCCAGCTATTGATGATGATGATAAAAGCATCTAGGCAACACCAACATAGCTGAAAGCTTCACTGATCAACAATTCCAAAGATTAATTGTGCACTAAAATTCAAAAGACATCTTACAAGCAATTAAACTTGCCACGCAATCCTTAGCTATTCGACGAAAAAGTTTATACTAGTCAAAAAGCACAATTCAAAATAACTCAACGGGGAACCAAACCTTATTCAGGCTGGCGGCTGATGGCGGTCGGTATGCAAACCTGGCTAATAAATGTATCGGCGCTATCTTCAAAGGCGCATCTCTTTGGTGCGCCTGCGCCGCTGCCGTTCTGCGCATGCGCGAAGTAGTGCTTGATATGCTAAACTGAAGATATCATTTGAACGGAATAAGGGTTTTCGAGATCTGAAATTGACTGAATTTTATAAAATGGATATAACTTCATAAAAAAGCATGCAAGCATGCTGTCAACGAAGCGTAATTTCTGATTCTGTGCTTTAACTGATAATAATTTAAAAATTTTCCGTTTCGTAATCGAACCCAAACACTTACATGACAGTGAGTTGACATGACAGACATGGGTTAGTGTGAGCAAATGATGACTAAAGATAAATGTGGTATGGGTTTACTGATTTCATGGTTTTTAATTCCTACCGACTCCAAAATTTGTTTGCTCTAAGCTATCAAATCGTCAAAAAATAACATTTGATATAAGGATAATACATTTATTTACCAAAATTTCCCTTTATCGTTATCGTCAATAGACCATGAGGGTACACTTCTTATTAATTCTTTTAAATACTCTTACCTCATTCCAAATAAATATGACACTACTCCATTCTCACCTCTCCTGAGCACATCTTCGCATATCTCCCAATACTCCACTGCCCTTACAATGTGGTCAGTGCGCAAACGCATATTTTATTGGTTCTCTATCGGCCATTACGTCGCGCGCTGTTTTTATGTTCATTCAATTTGATACGTTGCCACGCGACAACGCGACATCTGTCTAGTTTGACTGTAATTGTTGCTAATGAGGTTTAATTAGTTATTATGGATTTTGTCTTGTTCTTCCCTGTGCCTTTAGCCAAACGCAACTTTAGCGCTTGTCTACAGAGAGAGTAGAATACTAACAGCCATTTTCAATAACCTATCTATCTGTAGATTTGCTTACTAGAGATAGAATTTTGACACATTTTGTATGGAGCTCATGTCAAAATACTATCTCTAGCAAGCAAATCTACAGATAGATAGGTTATTGAAATTGGACGTAAATGTATGAGGATGACACTGATAAGTGTCAAAATTTACGTCAATTCCATATATTTCTATGTTCAGCAGTGGATGTCCTATGGCTGGTATGGTGATGATGATGATGATGATGATATAATTCGCTTTTCTATTCTACAAGTAGACAAGCGCTAAATGGCATTTGGATACAGCTGCTGATCTTCAGGGTGATCTGCTTAAGACTAATGCTTTGGAAGCCAATTTTATGGATTAGGTAGGTGCAAGTTTTTTTTATTTAGAGGTAGATATTTGTGACTTAAACTAGAATGGGAATGACTACATAACTACATTGATCATGTAACTATCTCAAAACCTGATTTTTATATTATTTATGCCATATTTTTATGTTATGTTAAATTTTTATGTCATGATGAAGATAATTAATTTTTTCTTCTATATATCTAAAAATTCATGTAATTCTTTGAATGTGCGGCATTGGAATTATGCATTTGTTATTTGAGAAGAAATTGAATAAGTTTCTTTGTGTTTTTCATTTACGATTTTCATTAATGTATGATCATGTAGACATTCAATCATGTAGACATATAGCTATATATTCACTACTCAATTCCTCTTCATCTTGCTTTACTTTATACGTACTAATGCTTAGCCTAATCCTGGAATCGAAACCGTGATACTTTTGCTCGGCAGGCCTTTTTGCAGCAATTGAAGGTAGAGTAAAATTATAAATTAGAAAATAAATAAAAGCACAGGTGAACTGGGATGTCCACAGGGGCTAAAGTATACTTTATAAACTAAAAAAATTGGAAGCAAGCGAATAAAAACTTAATATCATGTACTAGCTTTTACCCGCAACTTTGCTCGCGAATTTCAGTTTTATCAGATGGGAGAATTTAATCGGGATATAAAATCCTATCACCTAATTTAGCCCATGCCTGTATACCACATTTCATTAAAATCCGTTTAGTAGTTTCAGCGTGATTGACGGGCACAACAACCAAACATCCAAACAATGATTCTTTCACATTTATAATATTAGTGTGATACTACATATGCCAAGAAATCATTTTTTTTTTTTCAGCATATTTTTGTAACAATCGTAACTTTATGTTTTATTATTTTCTTATTTGTTTCTTGAGACTTAGGGGAAAGTTATCCCTGGTTTCGTAAGGTACCTATTTGATCATGCTTATGACATCCTTTACTTTATTTCTTTGATGAACCTTTACTTTGATGAACGTAGGCATGCTCCAAATCACTCCAAATATTCGTCCATACTTACGCCTAATTTATTGTAGGACTTCGAATTTCCTGTCGTCAGTGGCGCAGCTAGAACTATTTCCAAGATGCAAAAAATTCGGCAACATCCATTTACATATCGTACCGTGTTGCGTACAACACATTACTTATGAATTTTTAGCTCTTTCTGTATACGATGTCTTATACGAGAATATCAAATTAAAATCTATAGAAATACTTATCTCAGGGTTTATGACTTGAACAAAAATGTTTTGTCTCTTACCCGGGGCACCCGTGTCTGGCAGATGCATTAATAAATCATCACACCTTCTTACTTAAAAACAAACAGACAACGAACAACAAACTTGCCAAAAACATCTCAATTATACCACCGCCAAGTTCTTCGAAATCATACCTCACGGACGCAGCAAATCTTCATTTCTGTACTTAGTTCGTGTGTTGGTGTTTTCTCCAAAACGTCAATACATCAATGGCCACGGTTCTCTTTGCAGGGGCGTGATAGCGCGGCCCGCGTCGTAATTACAGGCGCGGGCGCCCGCGGGCCGCACCGTCACACCCCTGCCTTCGCAAATTATTTAGTAATTTTAATTTTATTTGGACTTATACCGCTTTCGTTTTGTTCTTCTTGTGTTTAGCGTTTGGCAAGTGTAGTGATGGTAATGTATCATTAAATGTGTCATTAATTTGAATCGATCGCTATCGCTCGATTAAAATAAATATGCGATGCTTTTGAATCGGCTCGCGGTGTGGTATTATGCAAGAGAATTTTCGTAAGATTCTTTACGATATCAACGAAATGAATTTGTCAAGTTTTGTGTTCTTGTCAAGGAAATATCTTCGATTTCATTCATTTTGATCGCTATTTAGCTCAGTGTGGGTTGTTCGATGTGAAATAAAATAAGTCAAAGTTGCATAATGAATAAGTTTTATTGTTCCTTATAAATTTTCTTACAATTAGGAAGAACTTAGTTTCGCAGTGCGAGTGTCTTTTACTAGTCTAAAGAATTGCAGAATAAACTAAAAACAATTTAACTAGGTATAGTTTTAGTCAAAATAATTATAACCTATGAGATATTTTTTATTAAAATATTCTAACAGTTTATACAGAAACAGTAATTGTATAATATTTATCAACTATAACGATATAAAAATACGACTTAAATATATATCTACAGGCTTATTGGAAGAACTATATTTCATTTAATTCGACGCTCATTTTAGTTTATCTACGAAATATACAAAAATAGTTACAAATAAATAATCTTTTACATAGGAATCGTAGTACTCGCTACCTCTATGGTATACGGATTTGGACGTACAAAAAATATTTTAGGACCTCTTCACATAGCACCAATTCACATAAAATTATTTTATTTTAAATATCTTCAAAGTCTTACTACATATAACAGTCGCTGTCACAAATTGCTGCCGCTGACACTCCGTACATACCAACAACAAGGCACAGACAATTTTGGAACTTCAAACGTGCATACAAGCCGTCGCCGTCGCTTTTATAATTATAATATTTTTTGTTTTTCTTTTATTTTTCTTACAAATCGTATAAATTCACTTAAAATACGTTACTCTCCTTTTAAATTTATTCACAGTGTAATAAATAATTGAAAAGTTTTAAACAAATTACAAAAATCGCTAAGGTTGCGAGCTAGTTATAAAATATATTTATATTTCTGAGTTACATCACCTTGCCTTTGCGGTACACAATCTATGCGAACGCGTAGCGTAACATCACATTCATATTTTGTGTCTAATTTAAGTAGAACAATATCACTTTATCGCAGGACACTCTCGTACATTCCACAATACATTTGGAAGGAAATCAACTCTTTGGGCTACAGTTTAGGAAGAGTCCATTTGCTACCCCGTGTCAGTCCTATCTAGTCAATTGCTGTAACAAGTCTGCCGGACCCCGGCTAGTATTACGCTGAATTCGTCTTCGGGCCTGACGTCAGAGCCGGGCGCAGTGGGCACGTAGTTAGCGGGAGGGGCTCCAGCGATCACAGACGCGTATGGTGAGGCGTACATCCTCTCGGAGCAGTACTCGGGACCCGGTGCCTGCTCGGGGCAGTACGGAGGCCGGTAGTTCTGCTGCTGCTCGTATCTGTATTGCTGTTGCTGCTGGTGTTGGTCTAGTGGACCCTCAGCTCCGTAATCCAAGTATTTATCAAACTCCCTAGCATCCACATCAGACTCAGGTGAGCCCGTTCTAATCTCCGGACGAGGGTTCATGAAGTTCTGTTCTCCTTCTTGCTGCTGATTATTCGGCGGCTCCTCAGAGAAGTAGCTGCCGCCAGTGTCATACTCAGTTTTTGGCTGATCCGGATAATGAGACACATACGAGTCTTCTGTTTTATACATCTGTTCATACTGCTCGAAGGGATGATACTGAATGGTGTACTCCGTGGGCACGGGGCCGCTCGGAGCGTTAGAAACTCTTGGCGTTGAAGTACCAAGAGCTTGTTGGTCTTGTGAGGTTGCGACTGGTGGGAAGAACGTTCCTGTTACCAGAGGCGGCTGTTCAGTCAAAGTCCTCTGCGTGCACATGACGTACATTCCGTTAGCCATTCCCATGGCTGCGACTGGCGCTGGCGAGAAGGAACCCGGCGTTCTATAAGTTTTGTAAGGTGAGTACGAGTCAGACATTGAGGACGCATTAATCGCCCGCCTTCTCTCCTCATATTGAAAGTTTTCCTTTTCATTTTCAACTGGAGATGCATCAGGTGTGGGTAGTGGAGCTTCAGCTGGTGCGCTCCTCCTGCCTTGTGGTTCGGGAGACCGCGCTGGGGATGATTCTGGAGTTTGGACATGCCCGTTGAATTGTTGATTGTTTTGGAAGTCAGATGCGAGAGGCGAGGTTCGGTAAGGGGAGAAGCCGGCTCCGGGGTTGTGACTGAAGCGAGGGTCGGGTGAGTCCGTGCCAGCCGCATAGGGCGAGCCGAGCGCTGCGGAGGTGGCGGGCGGCGCGCTCGCTGGCGTGGAGGGCTGGTTGGGCCGAGTCTTGTTCTGCTTCCGTCGCCGAGGCCGGTACTTGTAGTTGGGGTGCTCAGTCATATGGATGACCCGGAGCCGCTCCGCTTCCTCCACGAACGGCCGCCTGTCTTGCGGTGTGAGCGAGCGCCACTTTTTACCTGGAAAATAAAAAATGAAAATGAGCCGATTGTGTTTGTCAGCGCACAATGTTGCTACACGTTTTTACTGAGCGGAGAAAATTGACGTGGCATGACTTGTCGTGCTGATATTACGATATTATTTACGAGACTTTTTATCCGCCGTGTAACAGAGAGGTTTATGCGTTTAGCGTGAAAAGCTATCACTGTTTTTCTGCAAAGTGCGTATCGAAGAGTCTTGCCTTGTTTTTTTATATGTTTTACGACGCGTTTGAGATTTTCTTTAGATGGCTGCTAAGATACATACGATACTTTGCTCACAATATTGTCATAATATTCCGTAAAATATTGCAAAAAATATTTGCGTACAATATATCATCGTAAGACAGCTGTAACATTATACTCGATGTTTATTAGTATTACCTTTCGTATAATATGTAGATAACATCCAAGAATAATATTAGTGGCATGTTAAATAAACAAAATAGATTCAAGCAGTCACAAGTCAAGCTAAATAATCACGATAGTGTTTTATCAAATAACTATAAAACACGTACTATGAGGGCATCATAAATAACATCATATATCTTGGACGAAGAAACGTAAGGCGGTTAGAGGATTTTGAATCTTATTTTGGTGTCAGTACAGTAAAGATTGCTTCGTGGGTTATAGTGTGAGGTTCGGAGAGAAATTATCGAGGAGTCCGAACAATCTTTAAGGATATTTATCAAGGCGACACTACTTGCTACCGGCAAAACAAACAACTTCACTTTTAGTGATGCGCCGTGTCGATATAAAAAATGGTAATTTATCAACCCACAATTTAAATAGGAGGCTGATGTTTTACGTTTAAATGAAAATGGAATGTAGAAAAGATACTTTTTATGTGGCTTTTTGTATTTTTTTGTGCGATCTAAGTTATTAATTTTAGGTTATGAATGTTTCTCAAGATTGATAGTGTTTTTGCAAAACGCCTACTTAACATTTTAGGACACTTTATATATTTTAAGGCTAGCTAAAATGTAGCTGCTTTCTTTTGAAACAAAACATAATCCTAAACAAACCAAATAAGCAAAAAAGAATCAAAAGCGTCACTCAGGTACTAAATAAGTTGAGTGATGTCAAATGTCACTAAGACAAATGAAGGGAAAAGCTTCCTGTAGTGCAAGGTCTTACTCCATTAGTCGACTAATACTTATCGATGTTTTTTTATCGATAATTAATGATGAGTTGTATTGTGGAGATTAAGACTACTTGTCAGCGTTCGGGCGTGTCTTTTTATATTAATTCATTTGCAAAGAGATTTTTATTATTTTTACTATTCAATATGTCTCTGTAGTACGTTTGTAAAAATAATATATTTTACTTATTATTAACTATCGGTCTTTTATGGGTGAATTTGGGAGGTCTGGCATTGACATAAAATAATGATAAAGCTATCTTAGATTACAGCTACTTTTATAAATAACACCATTGTCAGTCAGTAGTGGTTTTCCATAAAAAAAAAATCTAATAATATTTTCAATTCATTATTCAATCTTCGAAGAAAGAATAAAACACACGGAACTATATAATTATATAGTACAGATTGTGTTCTCGTGTCCGTCAATTATCTAACAAATGAAGGCACGCAAAAATTGACAACTCAAAACACTACAAACATTCTATTATAAGTTCCGAATAACTGCGTCACGTTTCTTATCATCATTAATTCATCGTATCTTTTATATTATTAAACACATAATTCACAACCTACACACATAATATCTATATCATTATTTAAAACACATTTACTGTCAAACACGACATTTTACCTATTAGTCATTTGTCGAGATTAGCGATAAAACATCGACTACCGGATTTCGTTGTGTCACCTCACTATGCATTCTTTGTAACATCTAATAAAGCTTTTAGTGGGCACTTTATTACCGTGGTAATGACCTGGATGGTCTGACACCTGGCCAAACACTTGATACTTTAAGACCTAGACTTCTGAAGAGTAGGTAAGTATGTAGGTACTAAATTGTTTTGTAGTTTGTATTTTTATTTTTCTGAGAATTATTGTAGATGTTTAGGTATTTATTAATATCAGAGATTTTATCAGGTGTAATTTTGAATTTTTATTTAGTTAGTCCAATTTATACGTTATTGTTCTATATGATGGTTTATTTTGCTTATTAAGTAACAATCAACAGTCAGACAAATATCCATTTTGATTCAATAAGCTGTCGTATTTGAATTAAAACTTGATAATTTTCAACAATGATAGGGAGTTATAGCTCTGTATTAGCGAGAAGGTTAACTTGATGTTGCATTAAGTATTTCGTGTTTCAAGTTACATTTAATAATATTCTTTTTCTGGTTCAAACTAAGTACAAGTACATATAATTAGTTGAAATCATTCACAAGAGACCACCAGTCTTGCCTGTAACCGGAGTCGCGCTATCGTAATGTAATTGAGTGGCGGCGATAAAGCGGACATGCGCGTGCGCTGGAACGGAAGCTACGGCGTCAATTTTATATTATATAGATATAGGTATTATATGAAACTTATGACTGAAGGATTGTGGTGGTCTAGGTAGAATAAAATGTGTTAAAATTAAGAATGAGAAAATAATGCAATATTGATTGCAGTAATGGTCATTATAGCTTGATGACAGACGATCATCTAAGGGAATTAAATATTGAAATAGTTCTTAAATAAACCTCAAATATCTTATATATTAATGGTTAATTGCTGTAACTATTTATATAAAAAAAAATCTCATTTCTTATCTATGTAACAATCTGATTTATCGTCATCACAGATATGAGCAAAAATATCAGATATTGATCGAAAAACAAAATATGCACAGATCAATCAAAAGGACATAAAAATATTTTAGTAACTAAAATATCTTTCATATCACAATATCCTTCTCTAAGAATATTCTTAGAAAACCACCCAGGAAAGTAGGATATCTTTCAATCATTATAAATGGGTGCCCATTAACCAAAAATTGAGGTATACAACCTCTTCGAAATGGTTGAATGACAGGAATCAATCAACGTGCACCATAGATGACATTTTTTTTAATTCCTGGGTTATACCACTTTGCGTAAAAGATCGTCCATTTAGTTAAAACCTTTTTTTAAAGTGACATGACGTTCTAATTTAGAAAATGTATTGTGGTCATTTATTTCTTTTTTTTTGGCATACCTACGTTAATATGTTTTGATTTACGGTGGACGAATCAGGTAAAAGTGTAAAGTATTTTAATTGTAATTTATTTACATATTTATTTTAATTTGGGTAACCAACAGCTATCTTACAAATAATTAATAATTGATAGGATGCAATCAGTAGGTATTTAAGATATCAAGTTCCTAACTGGGAAAGAATCTTTAAAAAACGCTGCAGTTGAAACCAGGTTCATCAAAAAACAAACAGAACAATTTTTTAATAAAGAAATTCAATGTGTGAATAGGTATATTAAACCCTGTCTCATTTAGAGAGCATTTAATTCTGATTAACCACGAACACATACCAATTAAACAATAAATCAATTACAAAAAAAAACTTCAAGAATCATCCAAAAGGAATTTCTTTACAAGTCACAACCATTCCAAACTAATATCAAACTATGAAATAGATCATTCATTAATATCAACAGATCATTAGGGAGTTAATGATGGCGATCTAATTAATGACATGCGCAGGAGTGGACCACCGCGTCATAACAAGCATGATCGATTGGATCATTATAACTTGATCATTTCTTTTTTGTTTTTTTTTTTTTGTATCTGTGTTGGTATGAGAGCTTCTGGGTATAAATTTGAGTGTTGTAGCATGTAGCATTACTTGGTGTAGGTAGACAGTACTAGGTGGTGTGTTTGTGTGGGTCTTAAGATTGGTTTTTCGGATATGGAACAGGTGGCGCTTGGAGTTTTGTCATCATTAGCAGAGCAAAATCTGTTTAAGAAGACAGCTGAAATCATTAAGTTCGATTGACATGCGATCATTTTTACGAGAGTCTCTCTCTAAGTAGTCTAATCAAAAAAGGGACAAAGGTCTTTTTTTTAAGGGAGGGAAATCATCGAATGACTGCTCCCGCCTGGGTGAGGCAAGAGGGAGTGTCAGACTCTTACTGACTAAAAACCACCCCGTTCCTTCAACTGCACGTCGAGCCGGAGCCCTGGTAACGCGTTAGATTCTCCGCGAAGGGGCAATGGACCTGTCAGTATATTAATATGTTTTAATAGAAAACTTATTTGTTGTCACGACGATAATACACATACACAAGCAAAAATACATGGTTGTGTTCGGAGTGCGAATAAGGCGTTTAAAATCATACAATGTCCAGTTATGAAATTTAATATTCAAAACCAGGAACCGCTACAATCTGCGACCAAAAATCAAACGCCCCCAATCAATCGTTGAACCCGTACTAGTACAACAAACAGCCGATAGATGGCAGCATCGATTTTTTTTGCGCCGACGGATGTCGAAGAGCATGCGATGCATTCTAAATTTATATCCCCCCTCCCTTTCTACTCGTAGCTTTATTATCCCCGTCTCTTTCTAGCAAAATATTTTTTTTTGCATTTCGATTCCAAGTGCGTGGTCAATTTTGTCGTTTTTTTTTTAAAGTCTTGTCTCATAGTCTCTGGACAGTGGCCGGTTCGTTTTATTGTCGTGCGTATGTAGACTTTTATTTCGGATCGCGATACAGGGTCATGTTGAAATTATTGGCTGAATTTAAATCATACGGTCCGTGGCTGTTCAGGTAAAAGTATGTACTGTTCGGGCCTGATACGATTGCCGATTGTGGATTATTATACTTTTATGGGCTGTAAACTGTTTAACTTTGTTGAGTTAAATTCTCTCATTTCTTAACACGTTAAACGCCATGGCAGTCACTGGTGACCGACATTAGCGGAGGATTTGCCTTCAACAGTTTTTTATTGGCAGCCAATGCCTTAATTATGGATTAAAATAAATAGTGCAAATATTTGCTCTACAATAATCAATTGCCGATTAA